GGACTGTTCTGGTTAAAAGCAGCTTGAAGGTTTTAGAAGTAAGTGGATGTTTTTCAAAACTATCTTAGAATTTAAAAATAGGCAAACTGTTTTTTAGGTTTCTGACATTTTTGGTTCAATTTGACTTAAAATGTTTTATGCTAAGTGAAATAAGTCAGAAGGAGAAGATAATCTGCTTTCACTAGAATGTGGACTATAGAGTAATTAAGCTTAAAAGTCAAAGACAAGCGTAAAAACTAATTCTTAAAAACTGAGTATAGATGTGAAGCATGGTGGGTTGAGAGAGGTCACAGAGAGGGGTAAGAACAAGGAAGGAAGGAAGCACGGTGGAATATGGTGCTAGATGCTGGGTCATCTGGTTCTGTGAACACTATAGATACTGGATGGAGGTATCTTTATATTACTTCAATTACAAGGAAGTAAAAATGTAAATACGTTTAAAAAGAAGTTTAATCAAAAAAATTTTTTTAAAAGATTTATTTATTTATGGTTACAGAACTGGGATACAGGCTAGAGGTGTGGTGGGTGAGAGGATTCACCAGAGACAGAGTGGGGAGCAGAACAGACAAACTGATAAAGTACACTGCTGAGGGGAGCATTGGGCAGATCCGAAGAGGTCTTCCTTACCATATGAGTCAGCTTTCTGGCTGGGGATGGAACTCATGTAGCAGTGGGCTTTGGAGAGCTTCATAATGCGATGCTTTAACCCATTGCGCCACCAGGGAGAGTCTCCAAAAAAGTTTTTTAAAAGCCCCAAATCACTAACAGCTTTTATTGCATCTTAAAGATATCACAAATAGGTCTGAGAGAACATCCAGTATCCTGCTGTTCTATAACTGGACAGCTTAGATCTTACTCATCAACCTGCTGAATTGTTCCTTCTTTAGAAACACAGATACCATCTAAAAATTTCCTGAAGTCCTTGTTTTTAACTATGCAGCTTGATGAATCAAAGCAGATGAATTTGATACAAAATTAGCAATTTTTTTTCAAGAATTAGCTCATCTTTCTGGGTTTGAAATACAGAACAATTTCTGGCCTCATTTGAAGTTTTGCCCAAGAAATTTTAGATTTCAACAGGAGACCCATTGTCCTGAATAATATTGCTGGAAAAGTGAGTATACACAGACGTCATTTCATGAAAGACCAGTGTAACATCCTTAATCATGTATGTAACTGTATTTAACTATAGATAGTATGAAAGTAGCCTGTTCCTTTCTGTTTCCCCATCATTTGACAACTAGGGGCTTCTTTTTTCTTTCCAAGGAGACTGAGTTCTATATTGCTGTAATTGAGTTCCCCTGAACAGGGCACTTCGGGGCCCCATCATGATAACTGTGCATCACTTCAGAGAAATGTTTAACCTTTTCTGGAATGTTGACAGACTGTTAAGAATGGTCTTCATTTTCGAAGAGATGGCAAAAAATGCTTAATCAGCATTATAAGCTTTATGTGAGAGTTGTAAATAGTCTTTAATAAAAAGGGAGCAGTGTTAATTTGTATGTAGTCATTCACATAGTCATATTTAGAAAAACTGGATTTTTCTTTGTATTTTGAAATTTAATTAATTGGTTTTTATTGCATTATAATGTTAAAATGAAGTGAAATTTTTTAAATGAATTTTTAAAGTAATTGACAGTATATGTTCTTGTGAAAATATTTTCAGATTTCAGTATTTGGGATTATCATTAGAATGCATAAACTTTATGGGAGATATTCTAATTCAGTTTTTACTGATGAGTATATTATATTTCTTCTCCTGTAGATTTGGGTAATCTGCTTTTCTTTAAGATAATATGACTTTGGTTAAAAGAAAAGGGAAAGCTGGATTATCTTGAAACATATGCTAAATTTATTTGGTACCAAAGTATGCAGGTGTTACCTTTATTAATTAAGTTAGAGCCATTTAGAAGGAAAGGAGTGTAATTTCAGTGTTTTTGTTAGTATTTGTTAATGTCCGAATAGAAAGGAATTGGGTTGAACAAAGGAAATAAGGTCTTGTTTTGGGTAGCAGATTTGTACATGTCATTTTTGTAAAGATGAACTTATTTTCCCACCAGGTTGACATATTCATTTAGTGGCACCATCTCCCTCATTTTGGAATTGAGGTCTGTTTCTCTCTTAAAGCAAGATAAATTTGAGGTTGGGGTGTGCATTCCATTTTGCTTCATAGTACATGGGGAAGAAAACTGCTTTTTAGTCAAGATCAGTGCCTCTTGTGGCAGGTAGGTCGACATAAAGGACTTCAAAGAGAATCATTCATAGTCACATCTGAAAAGGAGAAAGGGCATTTTGACTTTGGTTGTGTTTGTTCTGAGTGACCATCTTCTAGTGGGAATAATGGTATCTGTCATCTCAGAAGTGTTACTGGAGATTAGTGAGTTGAAGCACTTAGCATCTGACATGTAGATTTTCACTGAAATATGATTCCTTTTGGCATTTATATAGCCCATGTACTTGTCAGACAGTTGTGGGGTTATGGCTTTCCCTGATTCGTCCTAACTACTTGAACATCAGGTACTGGTGTGATGTTTCTGAAAGATACTACTAACACCAGAAATAAAGAGACATCATTTTAGTTTGGAAGATGTTCCTATCTATGTTAGTCTAAACTGCATGAATATATATGGTGGTAGCTTCCTGCTAAAAAATTGCAAATTCTGTGTAAAAAGTTACAAAAATAGAGGATAATCATTTGTAATTTACTTCTGTCATCCATATTTGGTATCCATATTTCCATACTCTTCAGTGTTCGTAAGTATATATATCCTTATCTGATAGGTGTAAGAGAAAACAAAATACCTCACAATGTGTAATGTTTTATAATTTGTTTTTCATTTTTCCACTTAGCAATATAGTATAAATGTCCTTGTTCATAGTGACTATTTTAAAATATGCTTCTACATTCTATGATACTTATTCTGTGCTTTTACCCTGTTGTATTTTGATTCTTCTCAGATCCTTGGTTTTATAGGGAGTGGTGAACATTCTTGCTCATACTAAATATTTTTTAGAATGTCTTTCCCCATTCTTTCTTATTTTCACTTTTTCATTTTGTATAGGTCCTTCTTTGGTTTGTCCAGATTGCTTCAGCAGCCTCTTGGTAGTTTAGAACCCTCAGTTGATCTCTGCATTGGTGTGGGAGTTGTCTATTGAAAATCTGGCCAGGTTATGTTGCTTGTAGTGATAATATCCTTTGTTGCTATGTTTCACCTATTTAGAGTGAAAGCTAGGCTTTACAGTAAATGCTGAAAGACTGTGGGTGCGCTGCTGTCACCTCACCTGTGCCTCTCCTTTGTTCTCTATGTGCCATCAGTACTGATGGTTGTGGGTGTCACAGATGCACATAATTTTGCCTCTTGATCACAGTGGGGTTGTGTTTCCAGCATCACCTCTGGATGTCCATGTGCAGGCACATCTCACCTTCAGGTTCTTATGTTCTCTCCCTTGAACTCACGCCCTTGAGGTGGGCCATTGAGGGGTAGCTATGAAATTTAACCTCTTGACCATCAGAGAGGCCCTATACTTGTGCATTTTTCTCTCATGTTTTTAGAGAAGAACCTAAGGGAAGGGACTTTGTTGTCTTGTGGTTAACTGTCCTCCTGATTTGCTTGAGCCGCTAACAAAGAAACCATTAAAATAGCAATTACATTTATTTCAAGGGCAAGAGGGCAGATAGAGCATGTGTTTATTTTCCTTCTTGGTAGTACCATTAGAATTGTAATTTTCATATTCTGTCTGAAGTTTATGTGTTGCTTCTGAGGATTTGAATAAAAGGATGCAATAAAGGTATATAGTGTCAGGTAATGAAGATAAATCCAGTTTTCAAGGGACAAAGGTGTGTAAGAAATATTTATTTGGTAATGAATTCTGATTGTAATATTCTCATAATGGTACTGTATAAATATTTTTAATCTTTATACTGAAAAGACATATTACTTATAGAACCAGGGTCGAATATAAATAATAACACACCTAGCAAAGTATGAATAGCAGTAGTTGGGAGATGAATGACTGGGGGAAAAGTGAGACATTAAAGTCTTTCTTAAAAAAGTCAGGTAGGGATGGAAAGAAAAAATATTGTAGTAGTTGAGGAAGGGAGATGTGTGAATATATTACTTAAAATTACAGGAATTAATGTAGTAATATATTGGGAGGAGGGATCGATATTAGCAAAATATAAATGACTATTATCCAAAAAATAAATCTGCAGTTGAAGAAGGAAATGTCATGTAATATATTCCTTGAAATTATATTGACTAACAGTGATATAATTATATTGGGAGGAGGAATTGCTATAGTAGGCAATGAGTGATAATGTCCAAAATGCTTAAATCAAAGTGTTTTATGCTTTATATAGAGTTGAGTAAATTACAGATTTATGCTTTCTAAAGGTAACCACTGGGCACTTGTTTGCACTTAGAATTGATTAGTTCCAAATTAGATGTTCTGTGAATAAAAAATACATGGTGTTTTGAGGTAAAAGCATGCAAACTAGAATATCCTATTAGTATTTTTTGTATTGACTAAGATGTTATTTTAGATATATTTAGTAAGTTATATCATTAGAAGTAGTTTCAACTATTTTGATTTGAATGTGGCTACTAGAAAATTTAATAAGTATAGCTTGCATTGTATTTCTCTTGGACAGCATTACTCTAGAATCTGTAGAACATGGAATTAATATTGGTTCCTTCTGGGGTAACCTAGGCTGAACCTAGGGAAATTTGGGTTAAGGGAGTGGTGTTCTTGATTTTAAGATGTTCCTATTTGATCTTTAAAATGTATTAATATAATTTTATTAAAAAAATTATCCCTTTAACAAAAATGTGGGTGTTATCTATCTTAAAACATCTTAATTTTTCTCATTCTAAATTGCATAGTAAATGTTAACCAGAGTAAGGATGTTTGGAATTAAGTAATAATTGCCTTTTTCACTGTTTTTCTTGATTTTTTGCCATGTCAGAAATAAAGTAGTTGTTTTCCCTGCTTTTGTTTAGCTTATTGCAGGAGTGACCAGGACATCACCTTCTAGAAGTAATGCCCACAGAAAGCGGGAGTTGTTCAACTGCTCGCCAAGCAAAACAGAAACGCAAATCTCATAGCCTTTCTATACGAAGAACAAACAGCTCAGAGCAGGAGAGGCCGAGAGAAATGTTAGAAGGACAAGTAAGTCTTACTGTGAAGACTGCTGTTGGTGTTCCAACTAAAAAAAAAAAAAAAAAAGCTAAATATACTCAGAATTCCAAAAGAAAAAATGTGGTTATGAGAGAAGCAAAGCACCCTCCTCACCTCAATAAACTGACTAAAATTGCAGCCAAATACCACAGCCTAACAGAAACAGAATAATGTTTTTAAAATATCTAGTAATAAAACATGGATTAACAGTTTGGATCAGTTTTTATTCTTTGTACAGTTTAATTGACAGTACAATTTTAGGTTCCCTGTTTCTGATAGTCCCAAGAAAAGAACAAAATCAGGTATAATTTTAACAATCTCTTTATGTTCTCTGAAGTTTTTATAGAGTACATTCTTTTAGTAACTTTCCTTTGTCCTGTGTGCTGCAGTGTGTTGACAGCTGTTTATTACATTGCAGCTGATAATTTGATATTTCCTTTAATTAAATGAACTAATATTTTAAAAAAGATTTATTTATGCAGAACTGGGGTCTAGGCCAGAGGTATGGGGGTGGGGCAGTGAGAGAACTCACCAGACACAGTGGGGAGCAGAACAGGTAGATCTATTAGAATACACTACTGAGAGTAGCAGCAGGCAGGACAGAAGAGGTCTGTTGTGCCATGTCGGTCACCTCTCTGGCTGGGAATCGAATTCCTGTCTCAGTGGCTGCAGGTAGCTTTACAGTTCTGAGCTTTATTTTATTTATTTTTGAAAAGATTTATTTTTTTTTTTATGTGTACTGAACTGGGTACAGGCCAGAGGTGCAGAGATGGTGAGAGAATTCACCAGAGACAAGAGTGTGGTATAGAACAGCACATGATGAAGTACACTACTGAAGGGAGCAGTAGGCAAGACAGGAGAGGTATCTGTGCCATGTGGGTCACTTCCATGACCGGAGATCGAATTTGTGCTGAAAGGGCTGCAGCTGGCTTCATGTGCTGTGCTTTAACGCATTGCCCCACACGGGAGGGCCCTAGCTGAACATTTATGGACATTTTCATTTACACTTTTAGTAGTTCCTTTATGATGATGAAAATGTGGTAGGATGTTTAAAGAATACCATGAAGACTATGTTTTTATGAAAGTATGTTTTTATGAAACTGATGATAATGTTTACACAAGATTATGTGTATTTATAAATATAGATATATCATTCTTTCACAGCTAGAACTAATTCATTGATCATAATGTTACAAGAAAATCAGGCTTAACGATGAGAAATTAGTTCATTTAAATGATGAATCCTGTTAAAAACCACACCTAGGACTTTAATCTATTTGGTCCTCTGGGATGTAGTTTCTAGAAGGGCAGCAGTGCACTCAGAGCATGGCACAGTTGCTTGCACATCATGGCTATTCAGTTAGAATCCTGTTCTGTATTGAATAGATGCATACATGAAAGAACATCTGGTTCTGTGAGAAATTATATTCCATTTAATATTGGAAATAAAACTGTAAACTTTATCAAGAGTATCAAATGATGTTGCTATTTTTTGTGTGTTAGTGAATTTAGGTAGGTGGCTGTAGAAAAGCACCTCAGAATGAGAGTTTATACAACATTTATTCCTTGGCATCCTGGAGGTTGGAAGTCTGAGAACTGGGAGTTGGAGAGATGGGTTTCTTTTGAGTTCTTTCTCAGTGGCACTGGATGGCTGTGTTCTCCCTGTGTCGTCACTTGGTCTTCCCTTTGTGCGTATTTGTGTCCTGCTTTCTTAATATAAGGACTCTGGTCATATGGGATTAGGGGCCTAATTGCCTCATTTTGACTTACTCACCTTTAAAAATTCTATCACCAGATACAGTCACATTCTGAAGTTCAAAAGGGTTAGAACTTAAGAGTTTGGAAGGGAAAGAGACACAACTCAGTCCATAACTCTTAGGAAAGTGAATGTTTGCAGTGCAACTTGTATAATGGTGGAATGTTCTCGACTGGTGATATTTAATATGAGGACTACAAATCACATGTGTTTAGTATGACTGAAAAATTTGTAAAAATTTGCATAATTTACTTTTAAATAGTAGCTGAGGTTGTAAACTACTATTTTGGATATTACAGGGTAGCAGTCTAAGATAAATTCTTCTAATTGTTAGATTTACTTAAACTTTTAGCTCTGATGATTCTGTAACCTGCACTAGCATCTTTTAGAGTTAACTCCCATATGAAATAAATGTGTTCTTCTCTTGGTATCTTGTCCTCCATTGTGATGTAGAAAAGTAGGTAATTGAGTCTCAGGTGACCCTTTATGAATGTACATCAGAATCCTCCAGCCTGCGCAGCTTAGTCTCTATCTCCACACCCTCATCTAGGTGTCCAGCATTTTCTGGAAGATTGTGTTGGTGTTTGGTTTGAACAGTTGGCATGGTAAGTATAAGTGTGAGGGTCTGCCAGTGCACTTGAATTGAACTATTGTTCAATTGACTTTAATTGAGTATTACCTTCTAGATCAGGTTGGTGCAAATGAGCTAATGGTAATTTTATGTGCCTTAGTTTTGTGAATTTGAAATATTCTAGGAAGCAGTAATGAGCGTGGGCAGGAGTGGTCTGTTTTTACAGAGAAGTGCTAAATTGGTATAGCACCAAGCTCTCTGCATATGGGCATTGCCATCTGCCTGTTCTATATATGTGCTAATGTGAGAAAAGTCTGTCTCATTTGAAAGTGTGACTGGATTACAGTAGTGCCCTGTGTCTCAGGTGATACAAAAAGTTCAGCATCTCTCAATTCAGGCTCTGTGAAATTGAATGGCATTAGAAAGGAAAAAGTTGGAAACGATAACACAATCTTCATAAGGAGCTCTCTGACTGGGCTCTCTTGCCCTCTAGTGGAAGAGATCTCACCACATGTTCCCATTGCGTGATTGTTTTATAAAATGAAGTTAATACTGACATCTCAGTTTCGTCTCCACAAAATACATGCACTATTTTAATTGGTGAGTAATAAGGTGTCTCAGTAGGACTTGAGACTTAGAGGAGAGACATGATTCTTAAGCTAGTGATATTTCAGGGCTGAGGGAGGAGTGTGGCTCTCAGAGCAAGAGACTACGCAGCGACCACAGTGGGAGAGACAGTGTTAAATCATAATGGTGATGGTTTATTTTAATTTTTATTGTAATTTTAAGTTTTTGGGCTTTTTTCATTGGTATTTTAGAGGGATGCTGAGGGAGGCTATTGCTAATTCTACCAGATTACTTTTAAATAAGTTGCTTCATGTATATTTTTAAGTAGCTTATAAAGCTCACTTGAACATTCTTTGATGATTTCAAAATAGATTATTAACATGCCTATATCATTAGAAATCATTTGCCTAAAATTTGTTTTCCTAAGACATTAATTTGAAAACATTTAGTAAACATTGTATATCTTTATTTTTTTATTTGCAACTCATTAAACATCAAAAAGTTTGTGTTGCATATAAATTTGAAAAGTCACTTAGAAAATTACACTCATAGCAGTTAGGGTTGAAGCATTTTGTAAGTATTTGTTAATTTTTTTTTTTTTTAAAGATTTATTTATTTATTCATACAGAACTGGGGTACAGGCCAGAGGCTCAGGGACGGTGAGAGGCTTCACCAGAGACAGAGTGGGGAGCAGAACAGGCAGATCGACGAGGTACACTGCTGAGGGGAGCAGCGGGCGGGTCAGGAGAGGTCTGGCTCACCATGTGGTCTCCTCCGGGGCAGGCGGCAGGCGGGAATCGAACTCATACGGAAGTGGCTTCAGATTCTCAGTGCTGTGCTTTAACCCGCTGCGCCACCAGGGAGGGCCCCGTATTTGTTAATTTTGTTGAACAAGCTCTGCTTGCTGGGATGAGGTGGGCCCCATACAAAATAGTAAATATAGACCATGCTCTCAGAAGATAAATGTGGAATGTAGAGGGATTAGTTTCTTATTGTGGCCATTGTCCAGGAAAGTTTTTATTAAACTATTTTTTTTATATTTATACATGACTATTTCAGCTGTTTTGTTTAATGATTTATTTGTGCATAGAAGAACTGGGGTGTAGGCCAGAGGTGCAGGAGTGAAACGATTCACCAGAGACAGAGTGGGGAGTAGAACAGGTGGGTTTACTGAAATACACTGCTAAGGGGAACAGTGGATATGAAAGGAGATGATGTGTCATATGTAGGTCAGCTCCTTGTCTGGGGATTGAACTCAGGCTGCATTGGTTGATAACTTAAACCACAGCGGTAATAGCACTGAGACTTAACCCTAGGCCACTAGGAAGGCCCAGGAAAGTAAATCTTGTGAACATAGTTAATGCCTAGGATACCATTCACTTTGAGTATGCTTTAAAAAGCCAGGCTGGGGCCCTTTCTTGTGGTGCAACAGGTTAAAGTGCAGTGCTGCAAGCTGGCTACAACTGCTTCAGTGCAAGTATGATCTCCGGACCTGGAGGCGATCCACATGGCGCAGCAGACCTCTTCTGTCTCGCTGTTTCCCTCAGCAGTGTACTTCATCGATCTGTCTGTTCTGCTCCCTACTCTGTGTCTGGTGAATCCTCTCACTGCCCCTGAAACTCTGGCCTATACCCTAGCTCTGTATGCATAAATAAATAAATCTTTAAAAAAAAGGAAAAGCCAGACTTTTGCCTTTGCCGGTTGTCCCCTTGAGGCTTGTACAGGTGTGTAGAGCAGGTGCACAGATACACAGATCCACGGAGCATGTAGCTGAGAACCTACTGTTTTCATTGAATTCATATATATTGTGCTCTTAAGGATGAGATTTTTCATTTTACTCTTTTCACAACACTCTTGTAGGTGTTAAATAGTTTTACAGGAAATATTGTTTATTTTGCTGGAAGCACACTGACCATGCGAACTCAATAAGACATGTCTATTAGTATAGAGCATATTAAAAAGTAATCTATAGTACCAGATAACGGCACATAGACTATTTGTAACAGTTGCATTTATGGAGATTGTTTTTCTTCTTTACAAGTTGGGAAGTGTTTGAATAAGATAAGCTTATTTTCTCCCTTTAAATAAAAAAAATGGGTATTTTAAGAGACACTTATGTTTGAATTTTATGTTATCCTGACCATTTGTCCAATTTGATTTTAGTTTCATCTATAGAAATTTGAAACCAAGTTCTTTTACCATTTTATATGTAAGAAATAAGGTATCTAAAGGTAATACAACTCGTTTTAAGAAGTGATAATTCCCTTTGGAAAGTATCTTGGTATCATTTTCTCACATTCATTGACTCTACTGTTCATATGTTTATTATTTTAAATAAAGTTTTTCTTTTCTGCAGGATTCTAAACTGCCTTCCTCAGTTCGCAGTACACTTTTGGAACTGTTTGGTCAAATAGAGAGAGAATTTGAAAACCTTTATATTGAAAACTTAGAATGTGAGTATTTCCTGTCTTTGCATACATTTATCCATAGAAATAGATATTTAACAAACAAGTTTGTGAGTGAACATTCACCAATGTGTCTATTTTCTTTTTCCTTTTGTATTTTAAAAATTTCTCTTTGTGCATTTGTTATTCTGCTGTAGCGAATTTAGTGCTTTAGAATAACACAAGTTGATTACCACTCTGAAGTCAGAAGTCAGAACTCTGGCACGACTGTTGTGTATGTAGTCTGGCTGGCGTCTAGACTACAGTCAGGGTGTAGAAGAGCTCTGTTCTTTCTGGAGGCATAAAGGGAGATATGTTCTGCTTGTTTGGATTGTGAGAGGTATCACTCCCTTGCACTGTTAGGACAGTGGTTCTCATCTTGTTACTGTGTTTATTGGCTGAAAGCTCCTACCTTCTTCCTACTTCTGTAAAGCTGTCAGCAGTGGCAGAATGCTTGTTGCATATCTCTGACCCCTCCTAAAGATACTGAAAGGATGGACTATCTAAGCCATTCGGGATGGACTTCCCACTGCGTGTTTTTTCACCTTAAGTCACACCTGCACAGTTTCTTTGCCACGAAGGTCACATGTTCATAAGTTCCAAAGATTATGTCATGGATTCTTGGTCACAAGGGGGAGGTAGTAATTAGCTCACCATACCTGTTGATCTAAATTATGATGATATGAAAGATAAATGTATGTCACAACTTTTTCTACACAGAGTGTACTAGAGATTGAGAAAATTTTTATTCATGTTTTTCTTGAAAATGTGCCATATTTTAAGAATTTCCTAAAATGTGTATATTATCTGTTTGACTTATTAAAGGTAAACAAAAAGAATTTTTAATTAGCTTGGCTATAGTTTTCAGTTTTATTTTAGAAGAAATGTCTTCCTGTGTTTAAAGAATCGAATAGTGTAAAAAGAAAAGATAACTACCACTCTCCCTGCCTGCTTACCTTCCTGCTGTGCAGAGGATAGCATTTTTTGCTTCATTCTTCATTTTTTGCTTTTAGCTCTTTCTTGATTATTTTTGTAAATGAAAATAATCACTTCTGTTTTTAGCTCTGTCACTAGACATGATGCTCCACTGCTTCACTGTGGAGTAAGACAACCCTGCCTTTCATCTTGCTCTTGTTTCTTGTTTCTTTCCAATTTTTTATTGTTTATATAGGGTTTGTGTTTATAAAATTTATTTTATGCAAATGTAAGCAAAATTAGGTCTTTTCATGCTTTGCAACTCAATTCCCAAAATTGAATACTAATAATTATTGCATTATTAAAATATTTTTTGCTCAAAAACTAAGTGGTGAGGTTGAATCTTAATGAAGAGGCTGTTTTCCTATTTCATTTAAATTTTGCTATTGAAAAATTTAGTCTTTTGATGTTGGACTCTTCTTAAATCTGCCTTGAAAATTTATGGAGGGAGAGCTTGTTCCAAATTTTTAGAAAGTAAAAACTAAGTATCAGAGTATCATGTACTGCCAATAGCTTTAAGTTCTTTTTGAAGACTATATGGATTTTGACAACTGATGTATTGATTTTTCATTGTCATATATATTGTTATTTTTATGAATTTATGAGGTCTGTTCAAGAAAAATCACAGGATTTCAAATTATTAATATCAATGGTACTTGAGTTACTTTGTTATGTGCTTAATGGTTTTGTTCACTTGCACTAGTGGTAAATTGTGGTAGCATTTACTTGGACTGGGTCTGTTCAAAGCTGTTGCACTCAGCCTTCTTCATACCCTGGTCTCATCCCACAGTCTCACCCAGGTACTGCTCCCTGATCCATCATTTTGTAGCCTACATAATCTTGTACAGTGGCTTTGCTCATTCTCTTCTTTAAAACTGATGACCTTCCTTGTTTTCTCTTGTCCCTATAATTCTGTATTTTCTTCTTCATTTGTCAGAATTTCCTTGAATTTCTTGCTCTGTGGTGCTCTATTATACCATGCAATAATAGTTGCTTTTATTATATGTTCCCCTCATTTTATTATTTTTAGCTAGACTGTATTCTTTGAGTTGTAGGTAGTGCTATAGTATTTGTTAATGTACAGAATAAAGTACAAAGGAAATTGTTAAAATCTAGAACCCTGATGGCATAATGCTTTCTCTTGTATAGGAAGAACATTTGTGCTTTATTTTTGGAACACTATCTTGAATGATGCATACAGAACTGGGGTACAGGCCAGAGGCTCAGGGGCGGTGAGAGGCTTCACTAGAGACAGAGCGGGGAGCAGAACAGGCAGATTGATGAAGTACACTGCTGAGGGGAGCAGCGGGCGGGTCAGGAGAGGTCTGCCACGCCATGTGGTCACCTCCGGGGCAGGCGGGATCGAACTCATGCGGAAGAGGCTTTAGATTCTCAGTGCTGTGCTTTAACCCGCTGCACCACCAGGGAGGGCCTGGTCTTGACTTTTTTGAGAACTCTACAAAACTGTGATCTTGTATATTGGCAATATTATTTTTGCTAGTTTTGATAATACAAGTATGTAACATTTTTCTGTGCTCAGATTTTAGAAATGTTGAGTTTAAACATAAAAATACGTATTTTACCTTAATTTTTTTAATTTTCAGTGCGTCGAGAAATCGAAACTCTTAATGAACGTTTAGCTGCTGAAGGACAAGCGATCGATGGGGCAGAACTGAGTAAGGGCCAGCTCAAAACAAAAGGTAAGGTTGATGCTCTTGAAAGGATTGCCCTACAAATTATATGTGGAGGACACTTGAAATTTAATGAAGGGCACGATTTATTTGCTTTTTATAGCCCAGAATACTTGAAATACATGATTCAAATATGGGTATCGAAGAAAAAAAAATGCAGAGCCTGGAGATTTGCATTCTTGTTCTGCCATCGTCTTCATGACACTGTGGATAGACAATTCCTCTGGGATCCATTGTCTTCCAGTGTGACATGAAGGTGGATTGGCTGTCCCCAGTCTGTTCTAGTTCTGAGATTCTATGATTCTTTGGTTGTATAAATGTATTGAATTTTGATTGTCTGTCTTTACAGCCAGTCATAGTACCAGCCAGCTTTCCCAGAAACTGAAGACCACATACAAAGCCTCCACCAGCAAGGTACGCGAGACACTGGCTCTTGGGCCAATCATGTGGTATTTAAGATGTGCAGATGTCTATTTTAAGCTGCATATTTTCCAGTTAGAAATGTGTAATAGAAAAAGGTAAACCTCTGGTGTTTAGGAAATGTAGCTTTTAAAAGGAATATCATAGAAATGACCATAGTATGTAGATATGTAGACTCTAATATATCTTATTACTTATTGGACTTAATATATTATGCATTGATAATAAATATGTTGTCTTTTTCAGGGAGAAATATATTTTTCTTTATTTGGCTAAATATAGAGACTGAGTTTGGAGAAAGCTAGTAAGTGTGCTTAAAGCAACACAAGTATGTTCTGAGCTGTAGTGAACACTTTAGTTTACCATCTCTAATTTTCTGAATATGATTAAGAAGTGAAGTTCTGTCTCCAAGGCACATAGGGACATATGTGGCATTTTGCTTTTTTTTTTTTTAAGCTATCTTGTTCTGGTTTCCTTAGAGTAGCAAGGATTTAATTGTTTAGGAATCAGTTTATGATGGATACTATTATAAAGTAATATTTTGAGGTATTTTTAATATATAAAAAAATGAATCAATTACCTAACCTCAGTGAGTGTACATTTCTTTTGAGGGAAAGGTTGAAATTAATGGCGATTCTTCTATAATGGTATGGTGGTTAGCTTTCTGGTTTTTTTTTTTAGTTTGTTACTTTGTGCTTAAAGTTATTTTCCATGATATCCACAGAGAGATTAGCTGCAGTGAATATAGATCACATTCAGACTTATTGCTATTTCTGCTAATTTTAAAGTCTTTGGCAATTCTTTGTTACCAAAAAGCACCTGAATATTGCAGGCCATTTGCTTGTGTTTGATAACTCTATAGTATGTTACTGATTTAAAATGTTTTGTTACAATACTTAACATGTATTGGTTTTGAAGTTTTTAATAAATTAGTATTAAACTTTTTTTTCAAAATGTAGTGTGATATTATGTTCATATTTAACTTCTTGTTATCTTCAATTGTCTTATTTATTCTAGTAGTTACAGTTCATGTGTGCAGTGTAGTTTTGGAATTCTAAAACTTTCTGATCATTTCTGTAGTATAAGATGAAAATATTATATAAAATTGTTCTTCTGGACAGTAAAAATAATATTTGGGCAGAGGTAAAGGTATGCACGGTAATACTTTAAAGAGATGTACTAGAGATACTTGAAGCCCAAAGCCCCTGTCATTTTAGAAACTGGAAATACATTTGAATTTATAAGAAACATATTGCTAATGATCTTTGTAGCATTGTGCACACTGTGTGTACCAACCTTAAAGAATAGTAATGAAAGTGTGAGACATCTGAAAATTAGAGACATTTGATAACAAAATATGTTCTAATCTGTGCTACATTGTATATGAATGTAAGTATGAATGCAGAAAGTAAAGTACTCCACTCTAGGTTCTTCAGTCTCCCCCTCTCTGACTTGGGAGCTGTGAAAGGCAAGTATTGTGTTTGGTGCAATACTGGACAACCAAAGGTTATAAAAAATACCTAGAAGAATTTTTTCTCCTTTGTGGATGACTGATGATATATTGCTAATGTTTTATTGGGAGTGGAGGAGTGACCGTCTACATTTAAAGAAATTGGTGAAAATATTTACAAAATATTTTTATAAAGATAATTATCTTTCATTGTGGAAAAAAAAAGCATTTATGATTTTGTTAAAGTATTTTAGGTTGTATCAGGTAAAATGGAGGTTCAGTGGGCATTTGGAGCCAACACATGAAACAATTTGTTATTGTATTCATAAACTGTTATCTTGTGATAATTCCACCAGAATTATGTGCTTGGTTTGAGTTTCTGCTCAGTGACTCTGTTCTTGCCATTTGAATGGGGTCGTTGACTAATGTGACTCCAATTGTTTGTCTTACAATAATGTTGTCTTAAAAGAAGTGGAAGGCTTGGAAAATGAAATTCACAACCTGTGTGGGGCGTTTGCATGTTCTTTAACATCATTGTCTTTTCAGTGTTTTGTTATTTCACATCTCAGCGTACCTTCAGCCAGCAAAAACACTTTTCAGATGGTGGAGGGACAATTTTGCTAGAATAATAGGATTTTAACTTTCAAGAAGAAAGCAGATGATGATGATGATGATGATGATGGGTTTGAGGAAGCAAGTCCTTTCACAATTCCTTTAAAATTTAAACCAAGTTAAATGGGGCCTGTTAAAGTCTGTCTCCTCATCAAGCATTTTGTTTTAGTCTTTCACTGTATCGGGAATAACTTGAACGCATATATCAAATTGATGTACCAGTGGATTATGTTTTACTGTGTTTATGAGGGATAAATTTAGATACATCTCAGGACTTTGCTAAAGCAGTGTTTCAAACAGCTTTATAAGACCACCAGCTTTTCTCTTTCACTTGATTTTATTGTTTTAGTATTCTGGTTAATCTACATTATTCTGATTTATTTAAAACTAAAAAGCCATGCTTGTATCTGAGAACAGCTTAAAAACCAAACTGAAGAATTCTTTGTGTTTAGTGTCATCTTTTTGCACTTAATATTTTTACTTATGAGAGCTAGTGAGAACTGTTTGTTGCATGTATCATATGAGACAATACTCCCATCGTGTGTGCCTCTGTGTGGCTGTTGGCTCTGTGCCCATTAGACTGTGCGCTTCTGAGGCCAGGGCCCACTGTCTCCGTGTTCTGCATTTACACCTCCAGGCGCAGTGCTGGCGCCAAGCATGCGCTCAATAAAAACTGTTGGACAAACCTACTTGTCTGTTAGAAGTGTCGTCTTTTGATTACTCCCCTCCATGTAGTGTTCTCCTACTGATAGTATTTGATTGGTGTAAATTACCAAAACTTAAAAGCCCCCCAATAATAAAAGTAATTAGTGTTAAAGGGTTTGGGGCACTTCCTCACTTTTCATGTCCATTTATTTATTTATTCTTTAATTTTTGAAATTTTGTCTGATGGTTTGAGTTTGGGGAAGAGTGACTTGTAATGCATGATAGGCTTCCTTCTTTGATAGGATATATGTGCTGTGTGGGATAGGAGAACTGTGGGATCCTCTGATGCCTTAGCAAGAACTTTATTCCTGCTTGTGATACTCAGCTAGATGAGTGTTGCTGTTTTAAGTAATCTAGACAATGATTTATGCATTTTTCAAAGCACCTATTTCTGTTTTACCTTTGTAAACTTAAAAACATTTGCTCAATAAATTGTCTACAATATTCCTTCCCATCATGATTGTAGATTGTCTCCAGCTTCAAGACCACCACATCAAGGGCTGTGTGCCAGCTCGTGAAGGAGTACATTGGCCACAGGGATGGCATCTGGGATGTCAGTGTGGCCAGGACACAGCCTGTGGTGCTGGGTACAGCATCTGCGGGTGAGTGCACAGCCAGCCCTGCTTGTGGGCATGACTGTGTGGCAGCTGGTGCCAACCACTGAGCTGTAGGTGTGGTAGCAGAGGGATCCCTGAAAGCAAATATGACTGAGCAGTCATGAAAATCAAAGCTCTCAGCCTTGATGGGCTTGATGCTCTTGTCTTGCCAAAGGCTGTGAGTGAATGCTGCTCTGTGGCATGTAGCTGTGTTAAGGAATTGCTATTTGAATAGTGGTGCAAACACAAGGTGGGGATGTATTTTAAATGTATTAAGTATTTTTTTAAGATTTATTTATTTATGTGTATAATAGCTGGTGTATAGGCCAAAGGTATAGGAGTTGGGTGTGTGTGAAAGGATTCATCAGAAACAGTGGGGAGTAGAAAGAGCAGATCTACTGAAATACACTGCTGAGGGGAACAGCTGGTAAGACAGGAGAGATCTGTTGCACCATGTGGGCCACCTCCCTGGCTGGGCATTGAACTCTTGCTATAGTGGCTGTGGAGAGCTTGATAGTGCTGAGACTTAAATACTTGCGCCATCAGGGAGCCCAGATTAATATTTTTTTGATTAGTGTTCTTCTTGTTATTTATAACCAAGTGTACATCTGCTTTGAAAGTGCTCTTGAACTATGGTGGAGGGAAATGGTCTACTTCCCGCAAAGGTGCACTCATCTCCAGATTGGATGGAAGTGGAGCTGCTGACGGAGGGAACTTTGCCTGCAGGGGTCACTGACTGCAGGGCTGCAGAGGGAGGGTGGGCTAATCAGAGACATGTGCTTACAGGAGAAAATATGTTTTATAAGACATATGAAAATATGTTTTTAAGGGCATCATTTAACACTCCTTCAGATAACAACTGCTAAAATTATACAAGATGCTCACTTGTTGAAAACAACTTTTCCCAGCTTGTGAGAGGTTAATTACTCTCTAGATTCTGTCTTCTAAAATGGAAATATAAAATGTTCAACTAGTTAGAATAATGAAGAAAGCTCTTCGTCTTGTCAAAATGATGCTTACACATGAGCTCCACAGGAGATTATAATGAAAAAAAGAAAAAGAATAAAGGGCCCTTTTATAATTCTGAAATATCTTTGGGCTAAGTGGCATTTTTTTAATTTAGATTTTCTATTATCTGCTTTTTATTTTTTTATTATTATGCCAGTTTTCTTTTTACTATTTTCTAAAGGAAAGTTCCAAATGTATATTTATTATCTCAGATAATATGTAACATATTACTGGGTTTGGATGCCATTTGCATCTGAATATTTTCATAAACATAAAACTGAAATTTAAGTATTTCCACAAAATAAACGCGTGATGTAAACACAGTCAGTGCAACAGTGAACTAGGAACTCAGGTCTCCAGATTTCCACAACCTCAGTCAAGTCATCAACTTCTCTCTGGAAATACTTTATTTGATCAATTAAATTATAGATTAGTATAATTTAAGTTGTGCAAGGTACTTCTGGAAATATAACTTAGCATTTTGAAATATTTTTCTTACTCTTTTATTTAAAAAATTGTAATATTGGTGATGGCGCAGTTACTCGTCTTTGTTTTTTCTTCCAGATCACACCGCTTTGTTGTGGAGCATTGAGACAGGGAGGTGCCTAGTTAAATACACAGGCCATGTGGGCTCAGGTGAGCATGTGCTGAACACTGCTGTTTCCAGTGTGGGCTTGGTAAAATCTTCTGTTAAAAACTTGACTGTAGTTCCTGTTGGGAAGGTGTGCTCATGTGGCTGTCAGGAAGGACATGAGGGTATTCTCACAGCCAAATAGGCAGATGTGTGCCTCCAGCTATATGAGCTTCTTAATGGGAAAAGCTCAGTTTTCCAAACATGTGCAAATAGGAGCTGTCCATATTTTATTTTACACTGTCTAGAAGATTACACGTGACACTGTTGGAAATGAAATACGTATATGCATTACTTAACCAAAGTTACATGTCCATTTGGGAGGTATAGCTGTGCCTTGATTGTTTTCATAGCTGGTAAAGAGCCATAAGTTTGTAGAGCATGCACTTCCAGCGAATGTAGCATCTTTCTTCACCCTCTGTTATATTCCTATGTGGGCAGTGTTGTGACCAATGTCACTGACTTAAAATTTTAAAATTTAACTTTGCAGTACATGTTGATGTATGTTTTTGTTTTTATAAACCTGTTTTTGTAATATTTTTATTTTGCAGTAAATTCTATAAAATTTCATCCATCAGAGCAGTTGGCTCTCACTGGTATGTTGACTTTTCCATTATTGGACAAAATTGTTGATAATCTTAAAACAACTGTAGTGTTTCCTTATGAGTAGCATCAACACTACTCATGCCTTTTACAAAAGTTGGACAGTCACTGGTAAACATCTTATGGCTTAAGTGAGAAGAGAATAAAGAAAAATACATTGGGAAGTACAATACTAGTCAACAGTGAATCTCCATGAGATGAACTTCACTTTATTGTGAATTAAAGTGGATTCCTGTTCTTCTTAAAGTCTTTTTGTGAAACTCCTCATAATTGCCTGCTTCCCCCACTTGCACTGTGACAGTTCTCCATATACTGTAACTTGGTTCTCTGAAGCCCTTTTGGTTCTGTCAACCCCCTAACCCTGTATGTGCCAAAATACAGAAATGAGAAGGCAGCAGTCCTGGTTCGGGCATCTTCAGAGCCAGCATGTTCGCTCCTGTCAAGACTGTTTGCCTAAGCTGTGTTTACTTGACTTGCCATAATTTTATACAGTGGTTTTGAAAACCACTTTGTTACTGTGCACCTGATCATTGAGATTGCATGGATCAAAATGTACATGCGTGTGTTACCCAAGTGATACATGTGAGAACCTACTGTAGTCACGTTATTATATAATTGGGTTTCACTCAGATTATGTAGATGGAGGGAAATTTTGTCCATTTTTTTTTCTGAATTATCATAACTTAAATGAAAGGGTGGGCTAATTTTATCAGTAGTCTTTCTTTTAATTTTGCATATCTGTTCTCAGTAGTGCGATACAGTTTCAGAAATAGTTCTTTAAGGAAAATATATTCATCTCACTGAATTATGAAAGTTGCTTAGCAGAGCCTGACAAGAAGCATTTTTGTACATGGTGTATACTCTTTGGGTAATTTCCCCTATTTCTCTATTCAGCTTCGGGAGACCAGACTGCTCACATTTGGAGATACGCGGTTCAACTGCCGACACCTCAGCCCATTGCTGACACTAGTGTAAGCAGCACATTTACTTACCCTGAAAACGCGACATGGGGTATGTTGGTAGGGTTCTGGATGTTTGCAAATTTTAGGATAAATTTAGTATCTGTTATGGACTTAATGTTTGTGTCCACCCTAAATTCATATATGAAGCCCTCACCCCCTAAGGGTTCAGATCAAGAAGAGACACCAGAGAGCACTCTTGTGGGTCTCTCCTCATAGACACTAGGAAAGGCCATGTAAGGACACGAGTAGAAGGTGGCTGTCACAAGCCAGAAGAGAGTCCTCACCAGAATCCAAACCTGCCTGCACCTTGACCATGGCCACCCAGTCTTGGTGCTTTCTTCTGGTAGCCCATATAGACCATGATAGTGTCCAAGAAGTACCTTTACTTAAAGATGTATCTATTTGCTTTATCCTGCTGTTTAACAAATATTAAACATCTACCATTAATTTTTTTTTCTTAATGATTAGATTATATGTCTTAATATTTTATGTATTTGATGCTTAGACAGCATGTCGATATCTTCATGTAAGATAGGCCATATAATTTAGTGGTATGCATGACATTTTTATGTGGGTAAAGCTTTAATGTAGGTAACAAAAGAGGTTGCATAATGAGAAGAACACTGAATCGATGTATTTAGGCCAAAAACCCTTCAATTACTGTTGTCTTGCCCTATTGAATACAGTTGCATCATTGCAGCCCAATACCCTGTATTCAGAATCAAGAATATTACTCATTTGTGAGAAAGGATCTTCCTAGTTTCTGTCCAGGTAGCTCTCTGTAGTAGTCAGAAAGGCTAACCTTTCTAATGTGGCTTAAGCAGGGAGAAATGATACCTCAGGGGGAGAGAGTGCCTTGATTTTTTTTTTTTTTTTATAGCAAAGCAAAAGTTAGGTTTCTGTTTGTGATTTTTTTCTGTAATAGCTGGAGGGATAATGGTAATCTTTTAGTTTTGATATTTCTGACTTTGAATATTCCTTTACATTTTCTCTTTTAAAAACATTTTAAACATTTTGTTACTTGGAAATGGGTTTAAACATTTAAGAAATCCCAGTGATGGGTAGGAATGAATTTTCTTTAGTTAAGAGGCCATTAGTTCCTTTTTAATTGAGTATATTATGCATTTTATTTAATGTCTTTTTTCCTTGTGAAATTATCAAACTGCTATTTATTGAAGAAACAGTGAGTGATGATGGAAGACAGGGCAGAGAGATGAGGGTGAGGATTATGTTCAGAAAATGAGATAACTTGGTTTTTTTAATAATATAATTTGTCATAGGGAAAATTATGTATAATTCTTACATGAAAAATACTTAATAGATTACTTAGAATTTTAAATTGATTTTATTTTCTTATTGTGATTTTAAAAAAAGATTTATTTATGCATACAGAAATGGGGTATAAGCCAGAGTTGCAGGGGTGGTGAGACAGAGTGGAGGGCAGAACAGACAGATCAACAAAGTACACTGCTGAGGGGAGCAGTGGGTGGGTCAGGAGAGATCTGCCACACCATGTGAATCACCTCTAAGGCTGGGAATTGAACTTGCACGGAAGTGGCTGTGGCTAGCTTGCAGTGCTGTGTCCTTATCCATTGCTCCACCAGGGAGGGCCTTATTGTAATTTTGCTTATATTTGGTAGTAACTGCCTCATAACATAGGCTCACTGGGGAACCCCTCTGAGTTCAAGGTGCACTGAATCATGTGATTCCCGGGTCCTGCAGGAACACTGCCATGGGGGCAGGAGGAAGGGTTTTGTCACATTCCTGGTGGAGAGTGAACACTTCTTTGTGATTTCATTTCCAGCGTAATTGCTCTCCAACTGAAAACAACTTAATTTCTTCAGCTCTGCTGCTAACCTTCTAGTTTCTCTTAGTAGTTCTAGTCTTTGATTTTTTTTTTTTAAGATTTATTTATTTGTGCATACAGAACTGGGGTACAGGCCAGAGGCTCAGGGGCAGCGAGAGGCCTCACCAGAGACAGAGTGGGGAGCAGAACAGGCAGATCGACGAAGTACACTGCTGAGGGGAGCAGCGGGCGGGTCAGGAGAGGTCTGCCACGCCATGTGGTCACCTCCAGGGCAGGCAGGAATCGAACTCATGCGGAAGCGGCTTTAGATTCTCAGTGCTATGCTTTAACCTGCTGCGCCACCAGGGAGGGCCTCTAGTCTTTGATTTTTTTTTTTTTTTTTAAAGATTTATTTATTTGTACATACAGAACTGGGGTACAGGCCAGAGACTCAGGGCAGTGAGAGGCTTCACCAGAGACAGATTGGGGAGCAGAACAGGCAGATAAACGAAGTACACTGCTGAGGGGAGCAGCGGGCGGGTCAGGAGAGGTCTGCCACGCCATGTGGTCACCTCCGGGGCAGGCGGGAATCGAACTCATGCGGAAGTGGCTTTAGCTTCTCAGTGCTGTGCTTTAACCCGCTGCGCCACCAGGGAGGGCCCTAGTCTTTGATTTTAACTCACACTGTTATATACTGTTTCTGAACATTCAGCATACAAATTTTGGAGGGATATAGTTCAGCTCATTTACATACCCCTTTCATTTTTTCCTTTTTGGTATATTTATATAGAACTGTAATCCTTATGTAATTTATAGTCTCACTTCCTTGCTCAAACTGTTTGGTGGTTTTCTATTACACAGAGAATGAAATTCAGTGTCTATTTTGTCAGGTTTTATATGAACTACTCACAAGTGACATGAAATTACCTCTACAGACCTCTACTTCTGCATACTTGAGATTTTGCTCATGCTGTTCCATCTGCTGGGAGTTCTCTTTCCTAAATAGTTGCATGTATTTCCTTGTTTTCTTTATGTACCATCTCAGATTTGCTTTAGCACAGAGTGGTCACCGGATAATATTGTAAAAAACAACAGCCCACATAACTATACAACCCCTCACCCTGCTTATTACTGCCTAACATGTCTCCCTATGCTATATGTGTACCTGTGACACATACTCCTATATTGTATGTGTGCATATAATACGTACCCCTCGTTATATGACATACAGTCCTATACGATGTATACATGACACATATTCCTATGCTGTGTTTGTATACAAATGACAAAATTCCCTGTACTGTGTCTCCATTTGGCATAGTTATGTGTATGTGACCTATCTTGCTAGTATGTAAGGTTTGTGGGGCAGGGTTCTGCTGACCTCTGATTATAGTGCTTTCATCACATAACCTGTACACAGTTTCATGGTATAGGCCAGAGAGAGGTTATCTGCTCCCTTCTCTGCTGTTTGTCTAGGGCCTGGCTCTGGGTAGGACCTGATAAGTATTTGTTGAATGATAAAACCTTTACTGAAAGAGTTAGAGCCTAGGTTGACTGTTACGTTTGTGTTTTATCCTTGGCTTTTGACAAAAACTTAAGCACTGTATATAGGAAAATAAAACCAACTCTCATATCATAGCTTTAAAATTCTAAATATATTTTAAAAGGCTCCTGAGAGTTCTTTTTATTAGATAAACTACTAACTTTCCATTATGTTTGTTTAGTTTAACTATATTTCTATTGGTAAGTGGTGAAAACGCAAAAAAAATCAGCCATTTTGGCTGGTAAAAGCGGACTATGATTTGATTGATGTCAATGGTCTTCATTTTTTCCTTCTTAGTAGATAATCATAAAATTGATTAGCATTTATCCAGCATCAGATAGAATTCTGGTATTGTTCATAATGATGACTAAGTCCTAGAATAACAATGGTTTGATCATGTGGCTGTATTACAAAAGATATAAGATTCCCAGAGAACTTCTCTGTTTTTTACCTTCAGCAGCAGATCTGTGGCGAGGATGAAGTAGAATGTTCTGATAAAGATGAGCCGGACTTAGATGGAGATGTGTCCAGTGACTGTCCTACCATTCGGGTGCCGCTGACATCGCTTAAGAGCCATCAAGGAGTGGTCATAGCAGCTGACTGGCTGGTTGGGGGGAAGCAGGCGGTGACGGCCTCTTGGGACAGAACAGCAAATCTGTATGATGTGGAGACATCAGAGCTTGTTCACTCTCTGACAGGTACAGTAAAGTCTGTTTTCAGTTGGGTACTTTGCTTTTATATTCATTTATGTCTTATATTGCAAATTATTTCTTGTCCAGTTTTTTTTTTTTTGTTATCTTAGCTTTCAGGTTATAATTTTCAGAAATCCTGTCTAATAATATAACTGTTGGTACCTAAATTTATCTTTTTTAAATTGTAACATGTAGTATCTAAATAAATTTGATATATGGTGGTATATTCCTGTTACTTTGTAACAAATTTTCACAAATTTATTGTTTTAAAATAACATGAATTTATAATTTCCTGGTCTCCTCGGATTAGGAATTCCTTGGGATTGTTTGGTGGCTCTCTGCTCTGGGTTGCCAGGTGAAGTAAAAGTGTTGCCCAGGCCTTTGATCTCATCTGACGTTTTGGAGCCTATTACTTGTTGTTGGAAGGAGTCATTTCTTCTTGGCTTTCTTGCTAGCTATTAGCAGGGGTATGTATTAGCATCCAGAGGCCCTCCTCGTGACCTCCTATAAAGGCCTCTTAACTACCTGGCTGTTTGCTTTCTTCCAGGCCAGCAGGAGAGTGTCTACTCAGATTCTTTTAAAGCGTCCATCTAATTGTCAGGTGCATCCAGGACAATCTTCCTTTGATTAACTCAGTGCTACCTGACTTACAGACCTTAATTGCATTTGTAAAATCCATTTTACCTTAGATTACGTCATGATTTATAGCGATATGTAATCACATTGATAGGTTCTACCCAAACTCAAGGGAAAGTATCATCGAGGTTGTATACCAGAGATAGGTGTCTCTGGGCCATTTTAGCAATTTACTCACTATAGATATTTTTCAAATTTGTCAATATTTTTCAAATTTGTCAGTAAGTACATTTCCTCATTTACTGTTAAAGATTTTATTTTGCATGTTATGTAAGCAGACACTATTCTGAAGGTGAAGAATTAAAAATTAATTTGGTAAAGGGATTTGTGCTCTTTAACCTATTAGATCATAAATAGTGGTTACACTCATATTTTCCTGTTTTCTTTAGATTCATGAGTGAAAGGATTTCCTGTTCCTGAGCAGATATGAATTCCACTGTGACCCCCACATGCTATTATTAAGTGGTTCCCTCTGATTATTTTTCCAGTGGATACTAGCAGTAGAGCTCTTAAGATGTTTTTTTGACTCTTCTGTTTTTTAAGGAGTTTTACTGTTGAATTGATACCTCTATCTGTATACCTTGATTAAAAAAAATTATCTCAATAAAAAAAATAATAGTTAAAAAAAAATCTTCATGGTAACTATCTATCTGCAGGTGGATGATCTTGCATTTTTGTTTTCTTTCATTGTAGGCCATGACCAGGAGCTAACACACTGTTGCACACACCCTACCCAGAGGCTTGTGGTGACCTCCTCCCGAGACACAACTTTCCGTCTTTGGGATTTCAGGGACCCCTCCATCCACTCCGTGAATGTTTTCCAAGGCCACACAGAGTGAGTTGCAGTTGTTTAGAGATTTCTTTTTTACTGTTCATGAAAAAAGTTTCATGGGTTGGTATTAAAAATTCTTACCTTAATTTTCAGAATTAATTTCTAACTCCACTATCTTTCAACATTGCTGTTATTTCCCTGAACATTCAGCTCTATCTTGGAAAATTCAAAGAATGGAGGAAATTAAGGGCTACTTGATGTTTTCTCAAGAAATTGGATGGGATTAGTATAGGGCAGTGGGGAGACAGGGTCAGAGTAAGTAAGAAATACTCTAGGGTTGGTGGCATGAGTGAGCATCACCTGTATAGAGGGTTAGACGGCAGCTGTTCACAGCCACTCACAGGTTATCTCCCTGGATTGGTTGTAGTTTTGATGTTATTTGCACAGTGCTCCAGGGGAAGAGACTGATACACCCTAATTCTTTAACTGTTATATCTCCATCTGCCTGGGTGGCTATTGGGTAGCTCAGGCATAACTTTGTCTAAACAAAAATCTGTTTCTTTCCATAAACATGTTCTTTTCCCAGCCCAGTCCTTCTTAATAAGTGCTATGACTCTCATTCCAGCTGCTACTCATGCCACAGACCTCCCCCTCTACCATTGGACCTTACTCTGTGGGCAGGCTTCTGTCCAGTTGTACTTGCTAATGTGTCCTGACCACTGCTCCTGTGGCATGCTGTCTCCACACATTGCCCTCTCTTGAATGTCCAGAAAAGGACCTGCTGCATGTAGTAGTGCTCACACACTCATTTTTTTTTTTAATTACAAAAGTTTATTTTTACATCATTTTGTACATTTTTTTTCCCATCTCAATTGTAATCCCCACGGGTTTCCCATCACCAAGTCACCCATGTGCCATCACCATAATCCCGTGCATTTTCCTCCCCCCACCCCGTTGCTCACACACTCATTTTAATGAGTGAATACTTTTTGCCTTCTATCATACAGTAGACAGGTCTGTCTTAAATGTTTGACATTTATCCTACATTTTAGATTTAATGTTCAAAATTAGTAAAATATTTTTTTCTTCATTATTTTGAAAACTAGGTCAAATTTTTTAAAAATAGAAAATCTAGATTTATTAAGATATTACAAAGACAAAGCAATTATCTGAAGTACTAGGATGGAGGACTTCATCCCAGTTTTATTGTTCTATTAAAGAAACTGACCTAACAGGTTGGAAATTAAAGGATATAACCTAAGATATTAGAACAGACTGATGAAACATGGTGAAAGCAGCCAAAGCTACTGTACAAGTACAGAAGCACTTGTACTAGTGGTAGTATGTGTGGCTAGGATGTTTCTGAAGAACTGTGTGGAGATGCCTGAATGAATTAATCTGGATCCCAAACTAATAAAAGATCCTTGTCTTTGTGGAAAATGAAGAGAGGCTAAGATTTTTCTTTATCTTTCTTTATCTTTCTTTTTAAGAAGTAAAGGTATCATTAGGTCCTAAATAGATGTAACTTAGATTCAGCCTCTCTCCAAATCTGCCTATACCCTCAACTATTATGCATTTTCACCCACTAGGCCTGCTAGATTACAGAAGATGCAGGTAGTGAAGGTGTGCGTTTTAGGCTCATTTAGAGGGTACTAGACGGAAAGTTTTAGGTAAAATCACAAGTGAGCTCTTGGTTAATTCACCTTTTTAAATAAAGGTCATAATTTCTTCTTCTGGTGACAGCTTGTCTCAGTTTAGTATGTCTTAAGAAAGAACTGGCTCAGGTGAGTTTTGGAGGATGGAGAAGCCCTTTATCAATGCTGTTTCCAAAAAGGAGGAGACACCAAATTCTGTCCTACATTTATGGGCAGGGCCTGAAATCATTTTCACAAGTCACCATCTGCATCCTCAGACTAGCTAGTAACTTTTGGTGCAGTTTCTAAAAGTAGGGCACAGTTTTCTAATACACTGAATTAGGGAAAAAAAAGTTTTTGGTCTCTTTTGCCTCTGAGGTTTGCTGAACTGTTTGTAGTGAGCACTAAATAGAAGAACACAATGAGATCGTAGTGTATGACTGGCTTTGAGTGCTTCAGTATGTGCATTGCATTCATCTTGACTCAAGGGAGGCATTTTCTCTGTTGATAACATTGCCCCATAACAGGAAATCCTGAAGTCTTAGTAATTTGTGCAGTGCACAGGGTAGTGGGGACTGAGTGGAGCCCACACACTGCAAACCTGGGATCCCCACATCATCCTGTTTCCTTACTTTCTGTTGGGTCTCAGTTATTTCTTTCTCTCTTTTGTGGGAACAGAGACCATGGAGGGACATTTGTAACCAAGTTAGGCTGGGCCATGCAGAGGAGACAACAGGGCATACAGCAGGGTGTGTGTGTTGGTGGTGGTGGTGGGGGGGTTTGGAGGAGGGGGTGAGGAGGCCAGGAGAGTGATACCATGGGTGGCCTGAGGGCAGCTGTTTCTTTGCTCTTAAGGTTTACTTTCTCTGAGTCCAAAGAAAGGTAGTTCTAGGTAGTCAGGGTAGCAGGAACCTCTCTCACCTGCTCCCTGTCCTTGCTTCAACACTCCACCTCCCTCTTCAACCTGCCTGAACCCAGGTGTGTACTTTGAAATTATATATAACCCTGGAAAGAGTAGTTCATGAAATCCCCTTCCAGATTTGCCAGTTTTTATTTTTCTACATTTGTTGTCTGTCTGTATGTATGTATGTATACACATACATTGTATTCAGAGTACAAATGTTTCTTTGGCTAAATCCTTTGACTTAGGAAATTGGTTAAGTCATGACACAAGACCCCTAAATATCTCAGAAAGTGTCTTTTAAGATTAAGGACCTTCTCCAAGCTAACTCTGGTACCATTATCCACTTAAGAACTTGAATTAAGAATTCTATAATGTCTGATACCCTCTATTCATACTTATCCCTGTTGTTCCCCAAAGCATCTTTGGGTCTGTTTTTTAGGATTAATCAGAGTTCATTCACTACATTTAGATTCTGTGTTCTTCTCTTTTAATCTAGGACTGTCTTCCACCTATTTTGTTATTTTTCATGACAGTCACCTTTTTTGTGACAAATCCAAGTCATTTTCTTTTCGAATGACCGTATCTCTGCATTTTTTTCTTGTAGTTTTCTTTTTGCCAGAAGTCCTTCACAGCCCCTGTGGTATACATTGCATCTCACCATGGCACCCCACCATCGGGGGTGCTGAACTGGCCCATAGCTAGTGTCTCCAGACTTCCCTTTTGGAGGATATATGCTGCATTTTGAAATGAGTGAAGGGATGCTTTGAGAAATGTGAATATCTTGTTCCCTAGAAACCTTTCTTCTAGTAGGTCTAACATGGTCAGTGACTTGCTCACTGAATCAGCTCATTGGCTGGGACTTTCTTCATTAATGTAATTGAGAATTAGTACAGACTTAAGGACTTTTCACTTTGTTGTTTCAATTTTCATGGATGCTGTTGTTTATAGATTTAACTGTTGAGTGTCTTCACCTGTGGCCTCACCCTTTTGGACTTTACCCTTCAGTGTTTGAGGACACACTGCCTCTGGTGCGATAGTCTTCCCAACCTAGCTCAGACTGGAGCACTAGTCTGCTCACTAAACTGACTCTGCTCAGTGATACTGGATGAGCAAAATCTCATCAGAGATGTGAGGATTAGGTGCGGAGGGGGTTTTGTGCCTTTTTTTTGTACTTGTGAGATGCCTCTAGGAGAAAGAATGTAACTTGGACTTAAACTTTGTAGGCATTTTGGGTGGAAGACTAAAGGCCTTTGGACAGCAAGGGAGGACTGCCTCTTGGCCAGTGTCTGGAAGTGACAGACTTGAATTGAAGCAGCTGCTTGTATTGAATCCGTGATGTGAGACAAGCACAGTGAAGAGTGAAGATGTACTCAACTTGTTCAACCTTACAGTCCCTCCAGGTTCTGGAAGGTGAACTGAGGCACAAGAGATGAGTTTATTTCCTGAAGTTTGCCTGGTTTTAGGTGAATTTACATTAAGTGTTCTTCTGGAGTAGTGTCTTCTTAAGTTTACTTAAAGAACTTTTAGTTGCATACTGTTTTTTTGTTTTTTTTTTTTTTTTTAAAGATTTATTTATTTATTCATACAGAACTGGGGTACAGGCCAGAGGCTCAGGGGCGGCGAGAGGCTTCACCAGAGACAGAGTGGGGAGCAGAACAGGCAGATCGACAAAGTACACTGCTGAGGGGAGCAGCGGGTGGGTCAGGAGAGGTCTGCCACGCCATGTGGTCACCTCCGGGCAGGCGGGAGTCGAACTCATGCAGAAGCGGCTTTAGATTCTCAGTGCTGTGCTTTAACCCGCTGCGCCACCAAGGAGGGCCTGCATACTGTTTTTTGCCTCATTCGATTGTCTGAAAGATCGTATTTTTGTTTCATGCATAAATAATTAGGAATGTATTTCTACTACTGGGAATTGATGGAAATTCATGTTTTAGCTTTTAAAGGTATTTTAACAACAGGCTGTTGTCATCTATCTCCCTCTGCTTGTGGAATGTAGGGAATACCGGTGGTGTAGTTTAAAATGTTTGATTTGTGGTGTCTTTTTACCACTGGCAAATACATAAAATGTTTATTGGAGATACAGTTTTGAGGACTATAATTGGTTGTGAAGGGATTCTTATTTGTAATGTGGATCTGTGATACAGTTTCTAAGGTTTAGATTTCCTAAGTCATATTATTTGCTTGCTTTTAAAATAGACAGGGCCCCAGGACAGAGACAAGACAGGAATCAAGGATAAAATTTTGCAAGAATTTTACTTTCTCACAGGCTGACAAATAAAAGTGGTTAAAAAAAAACCTGATGACTTTAGGATCAGACACCTGCTGCCATAAATTTTCTTGGCTCATTGCTTTTTATGGGGGGTGGGGTGGGGTGAGATGAGGGAGAACAGACTGAGGAGCCCCAGGATGATCCTTTGCCCAGTGACATTTTCACTGTAACTGTGAGGAAACATGAACTTTTGAAAGAAAGCAGACTTTTAATCAAATTATTTTCTTTTTTCCCTTTTCTCACTTTCATAAGGATG